CATCACGAGATTTCGCCGCTTCCGCCCATGCCTTAAAGCATTCTCGCTTTCGGCACGAGGCCGCCTTGCAAGAACGTTTAAACCAGGGCTGAGACTTGCCACCGATCGGCACCGCAGAAAATGGAATAAAGAGTTCCATGCCCTGCAGAACCACTTCGGCGACAGAGGCAGCGACGGAATCTGGAGCTTCTGGCGAAAAGCACATAGGCCCCCAAGGGTAGGCCGCAAAGAAAGACCGCATCCCGTCCCAATCTGCTGACTTGTAGTGCCAAATACGGCGACAACCCAAAAAGCGGGGCCGTGAAGGGCGCGTAGAAGGCACAGTACTCGGACCACACAATGATCTGATGAACCCAATGGCGGGTTCATCAGATCATTCACATCAACAGAGACTTGATAGTTCTCCAGATGTGAAGTCAGCAGAAGATCCAACAAAATGGATTTATGACCATCCACATCTGGTATTCGCGTAATCGCAGGGACCATTTGTGTCAGGTCGTAGGCTAAAGCAAAGTCTTGAAAGGATCTTCCCGCGTGATCGGTGGTATCAGAGCCAAGCCAATCGGCATGGTGGGCGTTAAAATCGCCAAGTATCACGATTTCAGCGGTAGGAACCCTTTCGAGCAGGGAATCTGTAGCCGTTTGAATGTGCTCGATGAGTCGGTTAGTTTCGTCATTTCCGCTATGGGACCTATACAGGCACGCATAGAATCGCGGATGGTCATCGCAGTCTACGCGCAGCCAGAGGTTAGATAGGTCCCTTCCTTCAAGCGTCCCGAGGCGACGAGAACAGATATCCTCCCTGACGTACACGCAAACTCCCGCCCGCAGCACAAATGAATGTTCCAATTTGTACGGTGTACCCCGGGTAGGAGAGGTAAGAAGTATCAGCCGGGGAGGATATCTGAGTCTCAGTAAGGAAGAACAAGGCCGGCTTCGCAGTTTCTAAGTAAAAGTGAACCGCGTTTAGGTTAGTTTTCAGCCCCCTAACATTTGTAAAGTCCACCGTAAGCGTGGAAGGGGTTGCCTTAGGTAAATGCTTCCGTTTGCCCCGAGATCGAAACCTATTAATACATAAGTTTTTAGCGCAGTTTTTGCCCCCCCCAGAATACGAAGGGCAGCCTGTGCATCCACCATCGAATACCAATTGTTCCGATGATGGACGCCCAGAGGGGGATTCTCCACAGCGGAAACGTGTGGTACCCCCCTGGGGTAATCTCTGTTTGAACTGCATCTTCATACTTATGGGGGGGGGGGATTGATGGGCTCCGGGAGTCTCACTCACCGCACGAAACGCGAGTACAATAAGATGAACTTATTGCATCACTTCACGCCGGTTTTCTGTGAGACAGTGGTACTGCCCCGGTCGTGCCTGCCCATTTGGCTGATGCCCTAAAGCAACAGCATGGCTTTAATAATACATATTAAAGCTAACCTCCCACACTTCATTACATATGAAAAACTATCATAATAAAAATAAAAAAGGCGCTTACGTCACAATAATTAAAATTACGCACTTTGAACGTAAGATAATCAAAACAACACAATTAGATTTAAACTATGCATTGAAAAAAATCTGAGATAAAATGAGAAACGGAAATTTTTTTTATTAAAAAAGGATTTTTTAACTTTAACCCTAAAATAGGCCCCATATTTAAAAAAGTAAAGACTGCAAAAAAATAAAAATAAACTAACTTAAATTTTTACAACTAATACTCATATTAAGAAATGTTAACTAACGAATAATTTTTTTTTGGATTCATTAATTAAGGTCTAATAAAAAGCTAACCTACTGATATAATATTTAGGACAATAATAACCATATCGACTTATGATTGTCTGCTTTAATAAATAAATTATTTATATTTATCAATTAAATTAAGTATGAATGATTGATTTAAATTCAATATATTACTGAAGAAGATACCTAATTCGAATATTTTGCTAAACTAGATTTTTTGGTATTTCGGAAATATTGGCTAATGTTAAATATTAAAATCGGTTTAGTCCCAATATTAACGTAGTTTTTATTAACTATAGATAAATTATGAAATAATAATTAAAATGGTTGACTAGAAACAAATATCCATTTTACACGTTTAATTCTCCTTTTAACAGATTGTATCGGATTTACAATAAAACTGTGATGAAAAATGACTCGTTGGACTTTTTTTCTTTATTCCTACATAATTCTGTATTTACAGTGTATTTTCGCGGATTATTGGCGGACCCGTGCGACTTCTTCTATACAAAGATCCCTCCCGATTGTGAGGAAGTGGCATGGATCTGTTGTTAGCGCTGCGGCTTCTGAAGTTATAATGTTTTTTCACACATGTATATCCTTTCTTTAACATATATTCATCATAAGAGCAACTTGGCATGTGACTCATTAATACATAGTAATCAATAAAATTATAAACAATATAAACTTTTTCTAAGGAGATATAATATTATGAAAATGTAATAATAATATTATACAATTAGACGATATTAGCATTTTCTCAGTAAATAAAATAACAAAGACAACAGACTGATTTATCACATTTCTCTGAATTATAATAAGCTCCATCAACCAGGACGACACGAGTGTGTCTCACGCGACTTTTGGCGTTGCTCTGTGATTTAGCACTTTTGACCATTTCATAATTTACATACAGAGTGTTATAATTGATAATGTATGGCAATGTGTTTGCATTTCTTTATTTATTATTTATTTATTTATTATTTATTTATTTGTAAGTTGTACACATCATATTTTAAAAAAGACACAGACAATATACAAAGCAAAAACAGATTAAATTGTTAAACAAAATATACGAAACTAAAAGTATAAGTCAATTAAGTACATTAACAAAGAATTAGTCTAGCTAGGGGGAACGCTGCAAGTATCTTCGGATTCTTGCCTAGAGTCCCTTTAATAATATTTTTTAGTTTTAGATTCAAATAATGTTGTTTACGTTGCTTAATTAATGTAGTATTTAGATAATATCTAGTTAATAATTGAATAAAATTCAAAATCATTTATTCATATAGGTAACACAATATACACTTATGAACGTCAAAAAAAATAAATATGAAATGCTTCTAATTTTACATTTACTGCCAGTTCTCAAATCAAGGGCGTAGAACGGAAGAGAAGAACAGGCGATAAACTCGAAATAAATATATTCTAAATAACGACCTCCATCGGGACCTTGATGTAGAGGACGTCACCAGAGTTAAAAAAATATGTTTGCAGGTCACAGTAGCGCAATGATGTATCTTATGTATTTATTTTTGTGAATAAATAAATAAAAATGACGCTGATATGTCTTTAATAGTTAAATGAGATGTATAATTTCCAAATATATAGCGTGACTACGAATAGCAATGAAATTTTAGTCTAAACAATAAATACTTTTTTGAACACTCTATATTCAATGTACTCAACTCAGCTCGTTAAGGTGTTGACTTTGTGTCGAGTGTTACGATTACGTCGAACCGGAGTTCGACTCCCGACCCGGCAACTGATTTAATTTCATACTAATTTAGACAAAATTACCGCAATTGTGAAGTGAGTGCGAACTTACGACGCATTTGAAGGTATAACAACATCGGATTGTTTAATAAGAAAAGGTATTTCTATATTTTATTTAATATTTGTTACGTTATAAGATAATAATCTAATTTGATATTTATGTAATATATATAGGTTAGTTACCTACTTATGGAAGATAATAGCAACTTTTTTTGGCCTCCGACTTCTGTATCTGTTTCATGATCATATGTCAATCTAATAGGCAAGTAGGTGGCTGATTCACACCGTCGACTTTTTGGGTCTAAGACAAGCCGGTTTCCTTAGTGTTTTCCTTCACAGTTCGAGCACATGTTAAATGAGCACATAAACAGAAAGATTGGTTGGTTTGGGGCACAGCCGAGGATCGAACCTACGACCTCAGTGACGAGAGTCGCACGCTATTATTTAAAGCAGTATTTTATATAAAACAGTTCTGAGCTCCAGTAGTTCAGCTCCAACTAGCATCAAGTCAAAACATCTGCAGATCATTGTGATGTAACAGTTTAAGGAGTAACTAAACTTGGTAATTTTTTAAATAGAGACGATGGCAAGCGGCAGGATGGGATGTATTTGATCCCTTGGAGGAGGGGATGTGCTTTGGTATGGGATGATACTTGTATTACGTGTTACGTGACGTTAGCCCCGTCTCACCCCCCTTCGACAAGCATAAAAGCTGGATAATAATAAGCGGCAAAAATATTTTAATAAAAACGGCAAGAGTCTTTCCTTCAACTTTGATTTCGTTTCCTTTGGAGAAGGCTCTTGGGCCGTGGGGTTCAAGTGCACAGGCGCTAATTAAAGATCTAAGTTAGCGCCTGGTAGATAGTACCGGCGACCCCAGAGCTGGTGCTTTCCTCGCTCAACGAAAAAGTATTGCAATAGCGATGCTCCCAGCATTAAAGGCCCTTTTTTAATTTGTTTAAATTATCCTTTTATCAATTTTTTATTAATGTTATTATTACTTTGTAGATTAAGAATATTGTAATTACTGTAGGTATATTTATGTGTTGGAAATAATCGACTAAAACAGGATATCAAACACATTTAAGAATCGTCAATAATACGACGGAATGTTAATGTCCTCTCTATATAACTTTATATATCTGAAAACAGGAAACTAGTGTGGAAAAAATACAGCACAATTTCCGCTCATATGAAAAATGCCTCAAAAAACTGTAGTGCAAATTCATTTGGCGAACAAAAGGATTGTTAGCAGATCCGATGAACTCACGTCAACACAATTTTGTCTGTTTGCTCTTCGTCCGCATCGCGTTAAGGGGACTTTTATTCAGGTTGGTACTATGTTTTAAAGATATAGGACAGAGCAGATAGATTCATTTAAAGTTTAAAATATGCACATATAATTAATTTGGATAGTTTTATATATAATCTGTAGTATCCACTGAAAAAAAATGTTATAAAGCCACACCCAGATCAGGCAGACATGACACCTCCTGGATCCGACACAATACAACAACAAACTGCAGTAAATCTTTATACGAGGCCACATAGAATGCTCTCAGTGGATACAGAGAGGCCAATGCAGTCCTGGGTGAAAATGGAGGGAGTCAAGTCCAGAAATGGATCAAATAAAGAGGCTGATGATGATTACGTTATTTTTGTTTTTTTTAGAATAGATATTACAGGAATTTGAAAATGTTATGGTGCTTGTGGCATTAACATGTTGAATAGTTTTCCCTTAACATTTGTTTATATTTTCACAGAGAGAGGCTGTGATGGTGTTTGACGAGTGGACTGTTTATCGCGACCTCGCTGCCCCGTAACAAACATTATTTTGGACGTCCATAACGATTTTGAAATTCGTTAACCATGAGTATTGTACTTTAATGTTACCTATAAATATTTTACACCAAAAAGACTCTTACGAGATAAGCTACGTATATTCGAAACGAAATTAACATATAATAAACAACGTACCTATATGTATCGCAATACGTTACATAATTATTGACAATTAAGGGTAGGTACTATGCCACTCCAATTTGGTCTTGGAATAGTACTTTTATATTCATAATTATGTTTTAATTATTTGTATATACAACTAATAGCTTAAGATGCTATTGTAATTCATTAATTAGTTCTATCCATTCTAGTTTTATTATAATAAAATATAATCTAAAATGTCTGATATTTATACTAATTCGCTAGATCAAAGATATTCTTGCATTTAACTGAATACCAAATCTCGTTAAAGGTGGTTTTAATTTACTAATTTCTGTAGGTCTTATTTACTGATTTAAAAGTATTGATGTTTAAAAATCCCCTATATTTATTTAGATTAAGGAACAAATAACTGTTGCCACAGGCCATCCTTTTATAAGTGTCTAAAATAATCTCTACAATATATACACACACACAAAATATTGTATTACACATTGAAACATAATTCAAAATCAACCTTTAAATTATTTACAAAAAAAAATCATTTTCATGAATTAACTTCCGACAAAACTCTAGGAGCCACTGCATCTTCTACCGTATAAACCAGGGAAAAGGTTCAGAGGAGTAGTTCGGATTAATGCCTGCAGCTGAGTTTCATCATCGAACGTCAAGGCAATACGAAATTCCACCCTTATCACCTCGACGTCCGTCGTTCAACAAGTGAGCGTTTCTTGATGCAGTTGTTTCCGTGCACTACTACCATGTGGAACCAGCTGCCCACTGAAGTATTTCTGAACCAAATCGACTTAGAGTCTTTCAAGAAAAGAGCGTACCAATTCTTAAAAGGCCGGCTAGGCACTCGCGATCCCTCTGGTATTGAGAGTGTCCATAGTATAATTAATAACCAAAAAAACACCAAAGCTTTGTTAGTGGTATACTCGTGAAGCAGAAAACTAAAATGTTTTCCTCGAACACGAAACATAAACAACAAACATGATAATTAATACCCATTTTACCCTCGATGGCTGGCACGCGACATTCGTCCCCTACGATGCGCTTGCGTTCATTAACTGACATTAAATAGAGAATGTTCTCTCCCTATTAACTTACGAATTTCTTTTTTGGGTTCAATTCCGTGTTCTTGTTTTGGTTTGAACACTGATAATATGTTATAAGTGATTTCTGTATCTGTTTCATGATCATTTGTCAATCTAATAGACAAGTAAGTGATCAGCCTCCTGTGCCTGACACATGCCATCGACTTTTTGGGTCTAAAGTCACAAGGCCAACACTGTTCCTAAGTTAACTATTAAAAAGTAAGATGCTGATGAAATATATAATTCATCCATTGTTCCACACATATCAGGACGTCCAGCGTTCTACAACTGAGCGTTTTTTAAGGCAGCTTCTGCCACGCACCATCACTATGTGCAACCAGCTGCCCACTGAAGTATTTCCGAACCAATTCGACTTAAGGTCCTTCAAGAAAAGATTGTACAAAATCTGAAAAGGACGGCAAGGCACTCGTAAGCCTCTAGCATTTAGAGTGTCTATGGGCGTTCATACACATAAGAATATGAAAAAGAAACAAGCATAAATTATAACTATTCTGTGGCCTCGTAAATATTAAATATTACTGTGGCCTCGTAAATATTAATATCTTAAATTCATTAGTTATTATTTTTCAAAATTATTGTAGGGTATGTTCTATGTAACACATTTCTGATTATATAAACAAGACTTCGAAATCCAATTCAATTTAAATAAGAGATGTAATATGTATTATCAAAATTTTGAACATATCATATAATTTCTTATTACAATACGTTGTACCTTTGTAGATTTCATAATTTATTATTTTATTCGTGGCTATTTCGATCAGTTTCATGTTTTATAATGAGAAGTCGGCTTATGGTGCTTAGTATGAAGAGTAACCAATCATCCTCATGCCATGGCTGGCACGCGAGTATTGGGCGAAATTACGTAGAGCTCGGCCTAGCGAGTATGAGTACCTAATTTAAAGTTTAATTACTATTTACAGGCACTAATTAAAGATTTAACCCTGATAGTGCTGGTGACCCCAGAGCTGCTGCTTTCATTGCTGAATGAATAAATACTAAAAGTACGCTGTCACAGGGACCAAACTTTTAAATTTGTTTTAATTTTATTTTTATCAATTTTCAATTATTATTATTATTACTATATATAAGTTAAGAATATTGTAAAAACTTAGTTGTATGTTGGAATTAAATATTTATGCCATTACTATTTTACCTATTATGTAGTGTTATATTATAGTAAATTTAAAGAACACTTTACAATCACTTGTCATTAATAAAATTGACATAACTGTCCAAATAAATATAAACTTATATATATAGCTCGTACGGTGAAGGAAAACATCAAGCGGAAACCGGTCTTAGACCCAAAAAGTCGACTGCGTGTGTCATGCACAGAAGCTTGATCACCTACTTGCCTATTAGAAATCACGGAATAAATACGGAAATCTGAGGCCCAGAACTAAAAGGTTGTAGCACCATTGGTAACATAATAATAGACCGAGAAACACAAATATTATAGGCATATTAAAACAATCGAAGCCTAGGTGCTAGCCACTATAAATATACGCGCTCTATGCATTGTGACTCATTACAGCCCCTCAGATGCGCACGCGCCTAATTTAGTTTTTATACTATGTATTTGTTAGTTACTGGATAACTAGCTTATATGATTTTGACCATCCCTTCCAATAGGTAATCGTAAATTATGAATTATTAGCAATTTCGTCGGATACAGCAGTTCGTTAGCAAGAGTCGACGTTTTTACAAATATACAATAATTTATTTAATATTTATTTTATTGTTGTTAAAAAATGCAATTAAAGGCTTGATAATTATATTCATATTATAAATGTCAGTTAAACAGCTGATTAGTTACAAATATCATTTGATTCTTAAATACCTTTTAAAACTTTTTTGTGTACCTATGTATATTTATTTATTGAAGTTACATCATACATAATACTATATTTACAGTATATATTACTAAGTTATCTTTTCTAAAATATGTGACAATATTGGCAAACATAAATGTTACAAAAAAAATAGAAATACAATAAAATACTATTGACTTTTGCTCATTTTTAAGCATAAAAAACTTCACCACTAAATATATTAATTACTATTATATTAATTCCTTATCGACTGATATCATAAAATACTTAAACATTCGACAACAGAATTGATGATAGCTCCAATAAGGGACGCCACCCCATATGCCACTCAATGAGCCCTAACTAATGCGTACACGCCCTATCGTGGCCAATACGATGCTAATATTGATTCTGTAATATATTTAAATTTCGGTATTCAATTGTTTTAACAATTCAGTAGTGGTAGGTTTATTTACTTTGATAGAAATAGAAATACTAGAGAATCGAGACATGAATCCGTTTGTTATAAATGGATTTTGACAAATGCGAGTGACAGTTCGCACTAAGAAAAACATACAATATAATTTATGAAGACATTTTCCACCTTTCCACAGAGGTAATGAGGAAATATTTTAGGAAGCTGGTAGACTTTGAATTTATTTAGCAGTAGTAACAATCTAGGTTTTTCTTCAAAATATTAGGGTGTTTAATGTTTCATTTATGTTTTCTTTTGCTTTTCTCTGCTCTGTAATTTGCTTTCTGTTTCGTATATTTGGTAATCTGTCTTTGTATATTGTCTAAGTTATTTTATTATATGTATATGTGTAGCTGTAAGATTACTTATAAATAAATAAATAATTTACAGTATAAAGAAATTTCGCGTGCTGTGCAAGCACTGCATTAAACAATGGCTTGGTCAAAGCACCAAATCATTGTTCTGAAGTGTGGCATCCAAAATTAAACTGACCATGAGGATGGCCAACCTTCGAAAGGCACTATAAAAAGAAGAAAAGAACCTCTGCTCACTGGTTGTATTCTTCTTCTAAATACGAAATTAATTTCGAGTTGTTTATTCAAAAGCAACGGTCATTTTAACCATGGAATTAGTTCTAAATAATTAACTCAACGGCGCGTGCGCACACCCTCCCCTAACAATCACCCCGTATTCAAATTAACAAAGCATTACTATATTCCGAAACAATTATTTTATTCATCTTCAAAAAATCGACCTATTTCAAACATTTATTTCAAAGTAAAATGAACTTTATATTTACGACGTAGAGCTGAGAATCGTTTGATGTAATAAGGTTGTAAAATGTACGTGTAATTGAAGAAAAAAGGTGGCACGGGGCCTGTCGTACGCGCAAGTACTGTATCTTCCCTAGCGATCATGGGGTTGATTGGGGATGCTCCTTTTTCGATAAAATACTCCTTACGTTTCTTTGCTATTATCGATATTGTAATAAACAATATCATTTATTGAACGTGTTTTTGTATACAGTATTTACAATCTTAACTTACATAGTAATATTAATAATTAAACATTGATAAATATAACTTTTAAATTAGTTTAAGAATTAAAACAAATTTAAAAGTTTGGTCCCTGTGGCAGTGATCCCAATACTTATTTATAAACACTAATCTCACTGTAAATATTAGTTACACTGATAAGTATAAGATGTTTTAGTTAATAATAGAGGATATCTTCCTGTGTGTGTACATGGGAATATCACCTGATATGTATGACATATAGTTAGTTAATAGTATATTAATTTTTAAGGCAAGGCAAATTTCCAAACTTCTTGTCAAAAATGTAAATAAAATCATACAAAAGCTTAAATAACCGATATTTTATTCTCGCGTTCGTTACATCACTATCGGCGCGTGCGCAGGTGTCGGTTACGCTCCGCTCCGCTCGCCGCTTATCATACACCTGGGACACCTCGATAT